GTAGCAGCAGACGTCTGGGTCTCTCCAGTCAAGAAGAAACATTTAACAGGCGGTGTAGCGGAACGAGTGCTTTTGTGTTGTGGCCCAATTTGATTAGAAAATCTTTGCATAAAAAGCATCGTGCACACACAGACACTTCCATATATCTTATGCAAAAAATAAAAACATTGAGCACAATCATATTACCAGATCCTTCAGTAATCCATGTTTAATAGATTTGCAGACCCCCTCCTCCATCTCATCATCCTCACTTCTGTCATCTTCTTTCTTAAGGAAGTTCTTTGTTTTGCCATGATAAACCCATGCATGTTTGTAGGCTTATTCAACGCTTTGGTTTAAGCCAGGACTGCGGGCCGTCTGTCATGGATGCTACTGTGTTTGCTGTTCATCATCTTCTTTTGGATTGAGCTCTTCAAGGCATTCACATCCTCCAGAAATAAACATGACATTACATAAAATGTTGCTAAAATTTAAACTTTTTTTCTTAGAATAATGTGCTGGTTTGTTTCTGATACTTTTAATGTGTTTTTGAAGTTCAGCTTCGTTCTTAGTTCCTCTCAGAGGCAGGAAGGGGCAAAATGAAGAGACTGCTCCACCTTCAGACCAATCTAAATTCCCTTCAATGTCTGGGATGTAAGCTTTAGTCTCAGAGAATAGTCCAACAGTTTTTCTTCTTCAGCAGGTGTTGCCTCGTGACCACTTACTGTCTGGGGCGAGATGAGATGAACTGAATCACTGTAGTGGCATCTAAATCAGTGGTTTCAGCAAATTCACTCAGATTCTCAAAGGAATCAATATTTTTCCTTATGAGGCTTTTCCACATCTCCGTCTTTTGTGTGAAAGAGCTCACACTGTCTGCCAGAAGAGGGAGGAGCTGATTTTTGCCCTGAAGTGGGAGATCCAACTGTAGGACTGAGCTATAACCGTTCATCAGACTGTTCAGGCTGCAATATCATCCACTCATCTAAGCACTAGGATAGACATTAATCTCTCTTGTCTTTTGTCTTTTCTGTGTTTGGAATCTGTTTTCTTTTAATTTCAGAAATATTTTTCTCTACTTCTTCTTTTCTCTCGACCTCGTACCCTCTATCTCGCTCCGACTCTGGGGGATGGGTCACTTCATGTATTTTTCTCCTTGCCATTTTTTTAACCCCTTATTTCTTTCTCAAGCTGCAGTCTTTGTTCCTTTGCTTTGCCATCTCCTCGTTTTGTGAAATCCCTCCCATCTAATTACTACCGAGGCAACCTCTCCTCATCCCCCTCATATCTCTGCATTCCTGTCTCACTGTAGACACTTCTCAGCCCCCCCACCCACCCCCATCCCTCCTTTTAATCACTCCCCTGGCATTACACTGCTGCTCTCTTTGTTTGATCTGGCTCTGGCTGTGACTTATATTTGTGACGTTCAGACATTTTGCCTTGATTATCTTTGGAAAGCCTCTGAAGGCCGATGGAGAGCTGTCATTGTTTGAGCATCAGTTCAGTTTTCAGTAAAATACACTTAATAGTGACAACAAGCTAAAATGTTCAAACCAAATGTGTTGTTGATAGTTTTCAACATATATTAAAGATGAAATGTAGACAGAGGAGAATCGGAAAAAAAAAATTAAAGGTGTGACCAGCTCCTCGATCTGGCACAGCCTTTTTATTGCTCCCATAGATATTGAATTTCTCTTCATTGCGTCGCAGAGTAAGTCCTCAAAAAGCTTCTTGGAATGAGCTCTGTCTGGGGAGCCATTAGACGCAGACAGCAGAGAGGGAAGCTGAATCAACGCCATCAAATATGAAAGTGCAGTTTGTGACGATGTTGCATTATTAATGACTCCATTAGCGCCAAGTACAGTTATTCCATTTCCATTCACAGCTCAGGCCGGAGGTGGGCGTGGCCTATGTCTGGCTACGACTTCAACTGATGACAGCTACTGCACATCCTGAGAAATACAAGAAACAAACACACACATCTGGATATTTTCATTCAGAGTCATCAGAAACTTTGCTTGAAGGATGTGTTTTTGGTGTCTTTCAGAGATGATGTGGTTTGTGAAAATTTTAATGCTGAACAAATTAACGAGAAAATTAGAATCTAGGCAGCAGAAATCTCTAATGTTGCACCTAATGTGGTGTAGAACTTAAACTAAGTAAAGTTGGACTTAAATAAAGTCAGTCTTTAATTAATTTGCATTTCTCATAACCAGTGACAAAAGGCCAGGATGTGTAAACTTTCCTTTGTCTGCCTATATTTATAATATTTATTATTTTGTGACTTATTACTTGTTTGATGGTAAGTAATTATATACACCATTTTTTGTACTGTGTGTAGTTGTGTCAACCCAAAGGCAACATTCTTGACATCTCACATTTGAAGTCACAAACTTGTTTTCAGAGGCTTTTCCAAATGACAGGACTGTGACCCAAAAAAAGAAGGTTGCACTGTGTGAATCCTTTTTAGCCTCTCCTTTTCCAAGATTCTTTGTGTGACATGTCCACAGGATGTGGCTGCTTTCAAAACGAATCATTCCAGAGAACCATGATGCTTTATAATATAACACATTCTCACTCCCGACTCGTCACATATTGACCCTTTTCCAAGGTTCCCTCTGCGTCTTATTTTGATGCGTCAGGTAACCCCTTCRCGTCAGTTATTGACGCACTAGGCATTTCCAGGTTTCCTCTGCATCTGGTTTTGATGCATTGGGACACAAAATATAGGGGTCTTTGAGTTGGGGTCCGTGGTTAACGTAGTTGATGTGATTTTCCTACACTTTGTAAAAGTGGTTAATTTTAGGGATCAGGGTTGATGGTTAATTTTAGGTACTAGGGTCAGGGACAGGATGTCTAGAGTGAATAAAAGTAATTTCAGGCTTTGGGGTGGTTAGATTTATGCATTTTCTACATTTTCTGAAATTATGACAACAGATTCCACCCCATCTCATCAATAACTGACACGAGGGGTTACCCAATGCATCAAAATCAGACGCAGAAGGAACCTTGGAAAAGTGTCAATATGTGACGACTTGAGAGCGAGATTGGGTTGGATAATGTGTAATGTCCCCTTCACACTTTTATGTATGTGCTTTGCATTTCTACAACATATTGACATACATGGTTGTAAAATAACAACCCTGCTTCTTATGTATCTGATCCGCACAAGCAGCATGATCTGCAAATACACCAGGTTGCCACAGGTTTATTGGTCTCGTTCATGAATTCTTTGGCCTGAGCACAGCATCTTTTATAAAGGTCACACAGGCCTCACAAATACGCCATCACAATAAAACAAATGTAGCTGTGACCCAGCAACAGCTGCACGGTCTCATGCCAAACTGTGGAAATGGTACCAGTTGATTACAGTCGGTGTATCCCCTGCTGCTGAAGTGATGGACTTACCTCTGCCGTGTTTTGATGCAGCATGTTTCTGGTGCAGTACACAGCTGGGGTTTGATGGGATGTTCTGTAAGGTACAAACAAAGCTGGGAGGGTTTTGTTGGACATGTTCTTGAATCCAATTACAAGTTAACTCCATTAGGTGACTCATAAATACTCTAAAATAATATCGTACACACAGGATCAGCTTAATAAAAGTGGTCATCCACACGAACCGGCTGAATTTTACCACTGAGCGTTACGCCAAACCCAGCAATGGCGAAGCCTGCCTCTGTATCGGGAGGGGTAGTTGACAGCAGACCTCCAAATGCTCTTTCTCCTTTACAACTTAACGTATTGGAGCAGTTGGGTTTGTAAAAACAAGTGATAAGTGTCTGAACCAACATAAAAATCAGCACCTCCCTGATAGTCATTTTTCCTTCACTGCATAGCCAAACATTAACAATGGCTGCAAATGGGACTAAGCGCCACTTTATTTGTCACAGACTGTAATGCTGTGGATTATCCCTCTGGTGTCCAACACGCAAACACAGAAAAGGAGAATTCTTGGTCGGAGTAAATTGGTCTGAGTTTTTATTATTAATCATTTTTAGAATAGAATAGAATAGAATAGAATAGAATAGAATAGAATAGAATAGAATAGAATAGAATAGAATAGAAACAGCCTTTATTGTCCAGTGCGGGGAAATTCGGGTGTAGTAGCAGCAGCAGATACATACATCAATCCTCTGAGACAGTATATTGCTGTGTGACATTATCAGCTGTAGCAATTATAATAGAATTAAAGATAGTAACAATAAAAAATCAGCATAGATCAAAATAAAAATAAGAATAATAATTACTGTACCGGACTATCAAGATGAGTAGAGAATGTAGAGTTCTTAGGCGTGCAAACACAAACGTGGACGCTTATCGAGATTGTTGGGAGCAGTGGTTATAGAGTCTAACAGCTGATGGGAGGAATGATCTGCGGTAACGTTCTTTTGTGCATTTAGAATTTGCATTTTAGTGATATTAGACAGAGTGTATGTGTGGATGATAGGCCAAATTGCATAAAAATTTATTTGGTTTCCCAGATAACCGGCTACGTGTGGATTAGGCCATAGTCACGCTTCACTTCATCTTTTTAATGTGAGATTATTTTGTGTTTAAGTTCAAAACTTTGGCGTTTACCATTTCACAACACTCAGTAAACATGATCAAAACATTCTTAAGCAAATCTCCTCCTCCTGTGTGGATGGGAAAAGTATCACAAACCCCTCAATCTTTTACGATGTTGCCTTAAAACCTAGAAATGAATCAGGGTGTAAGTTTTATTAGATTTAATGACTAATTCTCCCACTGGGTTGTTTCTGCCTGATCTGCCACCAAAACTGTTCCAACCTGGCTGCAGACAAAAGCAAACATCAGTGTTTAAATTCATCTGGTTTCTCTCATCTCTAAATATGTCTTTAGCAGATTCAGTTTGTAAAGTCTCATTTGTAAAGCACTAAAACCTAATTGAAGTAATATTATTTTCTCTAATATTTACACAGTAATCCCATTTTAATTTCTCTTTGGTGAAGACATTTGATGGAGGCGGGAACACTGAGCCTCTATCTCTGCTGTGTCCACAGGAACTGGCTGATCTTCGCCACGTTCACGCTAAGCTGAAGAAGCAGCTCCAGGAGAAGACCGCAGAGCTCACCCATGCGAACCGGAGGGTGGAGAGCCACGACGCTGAAGTCAAAAAGCTCCGTCTCAGGGTGGAGGAGCTCAAGAAAGAGTTGGGGCAGGCTGAGGATGAGGTAGGAACAGTGAAGTATAGAAAAGACTTAGAGAGCAGCTGAATGATCCTGTCCTTATATCTGAAAGCTTTTATAGTTTAAGACGATCACACCTGCCTGTCAATGCTCAGATGTTGTGTATGATAGGACATTTTATAACCCAGCAGGATTCGCTCCAGGTAATGTCAAGGTGAAATCCAACATCTGATGAGGACAGAGGGTAAACCTAGACATGTGGTTAGTACTGTATGTGATTTTGTTTAGTCACAGATAAAACAAGAATAATCTAAAGAGGCCTGTTTCACAGCAGAGAAGCACAAAAAACAGTGTTGCATTCCCTCCGCGTGCTATTCTATCAGACCATTTTACACCGTTTGTCCCAAACGTTTTCAAGTCAATACGCCAGCATGATGTACTGTAGCCTGTGTTAACTCATGCTGTTCTCATTTATTACTTATATATTATATATTACTTATTTGTTCCTTCAACTCCAGAACAGCTGAGAAACACTTCTCTGCAATAATTAAAGAAACAAAAGCTGTTAGAAGCAGCTGAGTTACTGGAAATGAGCTGCAGAAAAGAAAAACACAGTCAGCTTGTACAGGAAGTAGATAAATTAGTGGTAGTAGTTTAATGAAACAACCGAACACTGGTAACAGGTACTCAAGAACTTAATACTGTGAGAGTATATC